AGACACAGTTTCAGTAGGAGGTTTGTGCATCAGAAGGCAACATATTTGGGCCGCCATGTGCAGCGACCCTGCTGGCTGTGATTCACTGATTCCCCCATATGCTTCGCCTCTTCTTGTTGTGTCCACGGGGGGAACATGACAGCTGCTGATGTACAGCGCAGGCACGAGTGGTCACATCGCCTCTGCTTGGCTGCCTTCACAAACTCTCTGCACATCCCTTATTTACTGCAGACACCCGGCACTACATATACAGTAACTGGCAGTATTGACACTGTGGAAATACAGCTGTGCTCTTTAGACGCCTGGAGGTAGCTGCATCCTACACGCTGCAGGGGGTATTGGAGAAAATAGCTATATCAAGTTGTGTAAATTATTGTAACCCTAGCCTAACTGCAGCCAAGATGGATATGGACGCCGCTTTTAGAGAAAATAGGAGATACAAAATAGGGGGATGAAACAAATCCAGTGTCTGTCTCCAGCTCTGACGTCGTACTTCAGAGATTCAGCCAGTACCTCTCCCTCTCCCCCCCCAACACTGATCTGACTGCGCTGACATTTTCTCCGCCCCTGAGCTAAACTCCCTCACAGCTCTGCCGCTGTCCACTACATTTCATGTTTTTTGTCCGAGAAAATGTTCCTTCATGTTTTTAGACTACAGGGATGAATGCCATTTCAACAGAAGCTGTTTAATGATGTTATTTGTTGTACATTGGTTGTCACTGTTTAAATGTCTGTTTTTATACAATATACTGTTGAATTTTCTGTTGTTGTCCATTTTAAATGGCTTTTATTATTATATTTTTTTTCACTCATGACAGAGGTTCGTCTTCGCTCATTGTAAGAACATGACACCATTAAGCATTTGTTTCTTAGAGGATTAGTCTTTGCGATGTTCCTCTACAAGGTGCAAAAAAACGCCTTTCTGTCTTAACATCGCTTCAGGCAGTTAGAGCAATTAAGTCAGAATTGATAAAGACGGGAAATTTGGCATTTAGCATTGGGTGTGAAGCCCACAAAAGACGTACTGCACGCTTGTCGCAGGGCTTTTCTGTAATAAGACCTAGTTTAATTAAATTTAGACGGGTTAGTATAATCTGCAGTATGTCTTTAAAACTGCCAGTGTAAGACCTATTTTGTATTTCTAGAGCATGATATATTAGATGACACTGTACAACACAGAGCCCATGTCACTACCGTATATCAGCCCCGGATGTAAATATGCTAATTTTACAACTGATGTAATTTACTGTTATAATTTAACTCTGACACTTGTAATCACATTTACATTGACAGTTACATTTCCATTGTGAATTGCCTAACAACCCGTGCTCTTTTCCGCTCATCAACAGACATGTTTTCCACTCATATGTTATCCATTTTCTCATGTGTCATATATTTCCTCTGAAGTGCAGCAGCAATGTCAATTTGTGTATGGTTTTCATATTTGATTTGCATCTTGTAGTAAGACATGTTTCTGTCTGTGTTTTTGGAAAGAGTATAAAGTATTCCCTCTTATCCATGGAAGCACTCCCAGTAAGCCACAGAGCTGGTAAAGGAAGAATGCACACGCAGTAATTGGGTTTTGTCTGCTGTGAAGAATTTTGAGACAGAAAGTATTTTATTTATTTTTTGCCACATCGACATATTATTTCTGTAATCTCCTCCTAATCCTCCCTCCCCGTGCTAAAGCTGAATATCTGAGTAGTGGAAATGTATGCTCTGGAAATGGTGTGTTTGATGTTGTGTTCTGCTGGGTGGCACTATCTGATACCTGCCCGTTTGTCCTGTGGAGTTTTCTGCTACATGTGAAAGCACTCTGAAAATATCTATACCAGGTGGACTACCTTCTCTTTATTCTCTAAATCAACTATTTTTAAATAAAGAAAAGAGTGTCACAAAATCCCGCCATACAGTACGCTCATTGCTTTTCATGTTTAATGACTCGATGCTTCTAATGTGTTCCCTTTTTTATGTAGCTGTCAATTGTTTAGGCAGCGTTTAAAAAGAGTTTGATGATGAATTCTCGGGGCGATTTGAAGGCAGGACTTGGTATGAAGAGCAATGTGAAACGGCGTCACATCAGATTCCATGGTGTATTCAAAGACTTAGTAGCATTGTGGCCTTCAAAGGCCTCTTCTTTTATAGAATAACAAGACCTGATGGGACTGTTGTCCTAAAGACGCTGAGATGAGCTAATGGTAGTCAGCCCGTGGAGCAGAGTTTGCTTTTTACAGAACAAAGGAAGAGGATGAAAGTAGGAACCATCTCCAATTTGTTTCTACGGCATAGAGAGAGCTGCAGAGTATTTTTATACGAAGCTTTATCCCTTTTTTAACCTAATTGTTATCAGACCCATGTGTGATAGTCAGTTGAGTTTATTGTGCCATTTCATCCTGGCTTTTTGTTTTGCATCACTGTTCCTTCTATGCAAAAATATGACCTATTTTAGCCTTTGTACAGATTATTTTGTATGAGTAACATGTACTGAAATAAAGTAAACAGAATCAACCGTGGATATTTTTTTTTTTTTTCTAATTGTGATAACAGCATTTCACTTTTCTTTTATTCCCCCTCATCCTAAACGGAAATCATTCCATTAACCTGAATTGGAAAGCTTTCATTTTGATGGGTTTGTCCCCACTCTGCATTATTCAGCGTGTTAACCTGCAGTGGAGCTGATCTCTGCAGGTTGTTCTGCTGTTATCTGTTCCCAATCTGTCGTGTTGCCCGGAGTAAACCCGCTATCTTTTTAAATGCAAGGCAGCAAATCTTTTCAGTCTTTGTCATCCTGTTTTGACATCACTTCAAATGGAGAAACAGCATGACTAATGCGGCTGCAGGCTTACTGTAGCTTCATACTGTTTGTTCTTTTTTAAAACTTAGTTAGCTGAAAAGATCTTAGTGAATGTCCCTTCTGAAGAACACCAGATATTAGTTGGACAATGTTTTGAGAAAGATAATTGAGGTCAAATTCTTCAGAGTCTTTCAGGCTTTAGGGGGAGAGCTGAGGAATTAAAACTAATTTGGGCAAAGTTTTCTCAAAATTGGAGGATGTATTGCGGGTTATCTTGATGCCCAGATATGAAAAAGCCTGGCTTAGACGCACAAAATAAATTGAAGATAGTAAAGTATGAAAATAATAGCCTCTATACATTTGCTAAGGCCTTTCCAGCTTAAGGCCAAATGGTTTCAAAGATGGAAACTCTAAATCATTGACAAAGTTGTGGTTAATGCTTATGTCAAAGGGTGATCTGTGAGGTGTCAAAGAGCTTGTTTACATCAAGATGGTTTGACCCATTCCTTAACAGAGTCATCCGCTGATAAGCTGCTTCAGTCTATAATCAAATGTTCTGGTCTCCATATTCATACAATTATCCACGGAAGGGCAAAAGCCAAGCGTTCCGCTATTTTGGAAAAATACTTTTTTGATAATAAGGTTAAATTCAGACGGTAGATCCATTCTCTTTTTTAACAGGTCAGGAGAAGGGGTCTGCAGGATAATGTGCATCAAGCTGAGAAGATTTGGTGAGATCTTGCAATTGCTTTCTTTCTTACCTGTACTGTCCCTAAAATATTACGTTTTTTCATAAGGGGGAACCTTATCTAAAAATATGATTAACCAACAGTAGGGGGGACCATTATCTAAAAAATATATATAAGGGGGACCCTTGTTTAAAAAGTAAGTTCCGGATATAAGGGGGAGCCCTTATCTAAAAGTTCATTCCTGACTCTTATCTAAAAAGTTACTTCTGATTTGGGGAGGAACATTATTTCATAATTATATAATTGTAAAAAGTAAGTTTGCGGTATATGGGGGGACCCTTATGTAAATAGTTAGTTCCGACATAATGTCGACATAAGGGACCCTTTATAAAAGTTGTTTTTTTTATAGACGGGATCTTATCTTATCTACATATATATTTATTTTGTATTATAATTGCTGCAAAACTTTCATTGTGTTAAAAATCTGTAAAACAACTTATTTTCAGTTCAAATCAAACCATCTCATTTTCCAAAGGTAAAGAGAAACTCTATGCAGCGAAGTGCCCGTGGGACTTTAAATAGAGTTGTATCACATTATAATGAAAATGATTTTAATCTCATTAATTCTTCATTTTGTTCTGGCAAGGTAATGAGGTACCTGAGGGACACTATGTCCTTCTGCAACTCCACAGTAGACACTTAAGATTTAAAAAACTGTTGGATTTAGAATTCACATAGTGATCCTTTTTCCAAGGACAGTTCAGACGACATTTCTGAGTTATGATGTTGAGTTAGAAGAGAGCCAGTAGTGAATTCTTCATACATCCAAATTAAGTTTATAGTTTGATATATTTGTATTTCTGTTCCCCATCCTCAGATGATCTCTGTTGTCAGTCTGACAGATGATCAATGTTTCCCAATCGTGTTTAGCCTCTATATCTTATTACAGAATAGGTGGCCTAACATAATTGAGCTTTGATTCATTTTAGTTATATTTCGCTGACATTCAACAGATTTGTTCTCAAGAACAAACAGACACAGCACAGCGGAAATGTCAGAACAGAACTGATTTTATCTAACTACATTAGATGCTCTTCTTCTAAAAGATACCATTATCGAGCCTTTGTCAACAATATTTGTGCTCTAGTTTTTACAGGAAAGCATCTGACTTTTAGGCTGTAATTTGCAAACAAGAACCAAAGCCATCGGGAGCAATAAACATTAATTGAAACATGTGGGGTAATATGCTTATTTATTACCCAAATGTTTCAGTATCTAGGGACTTTGAAGAAAGTTTTACATCCAACAGCAGGCTGACAATACTCCGCAGCTTGTAAGCCATTCAGCTGCAGTCAGCCAGAGATATTTTGTGTGTAATCTGACTCGTCTGCCTACACAGTTCTGGGCCCTACCCGCATGGAGGGGCAGCGTCACAGTCCCATAGCCCCTTTTTTAGCCAGCATGACACCACCACAGCCAGCAAAGCTCACCCCCTCCTCAGAGATTCACATGGGAGCAGAGTGTCTGCGGGGCGGGGCTCGGACTAAGGACTGTTTAGAAGCAAAACTTTAGCTCTACACGTTTGTAAAAACACCAACAAACAATGGACAGGAAACAGAATCTGAACCGCAACGAGACCTTCTCCTTCGTCAACCCCTGGATCAGATATTTTCTCTTCTTCTTCAGCTTTCTATTCTGGGTAAGTACAGTTCTACTGTTGAAAGATTACTTCTGACAAAAACACAGAGGTTATGTATATTCTCTCATAAATATGACAAGCTATTATGGAATTGTAGCTTTCCAAAAAAGTCAGACCTGCAAGAACAAGGAGGGCAAAGGAAAAAAAGGAAAAAGCTTACAAATAATAAATGAACAAATATAATTCAGATAGTATCCGTAGCTGCAAACAGCATGAGCACCCTGCCACCCCGCTGATACCTATTTTAAGTTTACTACAGTTATATATGGACTCAGGGATTGCTCATACATCAATGTAGCATATGGTGAGTTGTGCATTCAGATCAGATGAGCCCTGAATCAGGCTGAACTCCAAAACGACTGGTCTCTGTGTAGGCCTGCTGCTAGTCTGCATCTGAATGTTTCTGTTTTTCTCATACTGCTACTTTTAGGCAGTTATTGAATGTAGGCTGCATTGTTTCACATCATGTCTGCACAGATATGTTGTTCATATTATATTCAGTAGTGCATGTTGTCTACCCGGGGGGTACATGTTGTTGAAGTTACAAAGGGAATATGTAAGGATTGTGGAATGACTAACCTAATTTGAACAACAATAGTAATCATTAACAATGTTAAATTCCATACTCTTTCAGACCACATTCATTGTTGGAGTACTTATAGCTACAGTATATGTATGATATGAAAAGGAATTGGTTTAAGATCAGTATGTCATAAAGTCACCAGATTTCATTTTATAGTTTTTCATAATAAGGTCCAAAAACTCACAGTATAGATCGGTATAAATATTCATAGTGTCATAAAATATCATGAAAAAATGATAGCATAATAGATAAATAAAATGTCATGACAAAAATCATAGTATTGTATGCCATGAAGAAGTCATGAAAAAGTGTAGCATTATACTGTATTGCTATGATGAATACAAATCATTGTCTTGTATGTCATAAAAAAGTTTTTTTTTTAAATGATACAGTATAGCATTCAATAGTAGTATCATATATAAAATATGACGTCATGACAAAGTTATAAAGAAATGTTTGTGATTATATCATTAAAAAGTCATTAAAAAGTCAATAAAAAGTCGCAGTGTAGTATTTTACAAAATAAGTCATAGTATAGTCTGTCAAGAAAAGTCACAAAAAAGTAATAGAAGTCAATAAGTCCACATTCTAAAAAAACATTCACGGTATATAGTTAAGTGTGTCCAAAAAAAAGTTGTAGTACAGTATGTTGACAAAAGTCATAATATAGTGTGTGGAGAAGAAGTCCTAGTATACTATATCATACAGTATTGTATGTCGAAAGATATAAGGTCATAGTTTTGTATGTGGAAAAAAAGTCATATTCTAGAATGTCCCAAAGAGTCAAAGAGTCAAGAGTCAAAAACACAATAAAAAAAGTAATTTAAAAAGTAACTAAAAAGATATGAAAAAAGTTGACATATAAAGTCATAGTATTGTAGGTTGAAGATATAATGAAAAAAAGTCATGGCATAGTAAATAAAAAACTATGAAAATTAGGCATTGTATAGTATGATAGTTTAGTAAATTGAAAAAGTAATTTAACATTTTTGTCAAGTATACCATGAAAACATTGATAGTACAGTATTTTAAAAAAAATGGAAAACGTCAAGTATACGATATCAAATAAAGTAATTTGATATTGTATACTTTGACTTCATTGTATGCATAAAATAGGAAATATGAAAATTAATGGAATGTGGAAGAAAGTCATAATATAGTTTTTGAAAATATCATAGAGAAGTTGTAGCATAGTTTGTTGGAAATATCATAAAAAATATGTAGTACAGTTGAAGAGGTAATTATATAGAATTTCAAAAAAGTAGTGATACTATTATATGTTGAAAATGTCATGTTAAACTATTTCATTACAAAGTATTTGTATATTATGTTCAAAATATCATAAAGTCAAACAAAGAGAACCTCAACAAATATGAAAAACAAATAATAGTATATGCATCAACAACATACACCTTTATAACATAAAAGTGTTTAACAACCTCTAGATAAAAAATCCTATCAAATGCACACATTTGAAATTTGACGGATGGCGCCATTGAAGCGTCATGTGACAGACTTGAATGGAACATCCGATATACAAAGGGTACAAAGTATACATTAGTACAGGCTCCACTGCGTAGTGTGACTGAGTAGGAGACAACCAGGACTGCTAGAGGAAGAGAGGAATGCATAGGAGACACACCCCTGCAGCCATTAAACCATCCATAGGGCCCTATGATCATCATCTGAAGTTGCTTACACACAACACACACACACACACACACACACACACACACACACACACACACACACACACACACACACACAGTCTATAGCACATGCATGCTGCCACCCGTACTCACATAAATACACACAGTTGCAAACTGACACACTCCTACACAACAGAGAATATCTGTTAAGAAACAAACAAACAAACTGTGCTTTCAAAAATCTTAAAAACACTTCAGTTCTAAAGAAAATGTCGATCTTTATGGTTTGTTCTGCTATTGTCTCCCAAGTCAGATTATTGATACAAAAATGTGCAGGGGATAAAACAAACCAAAGTGACACGTAAAATAATGGGCTGCACGTGAATGGCTGCTGATTTAAAATTACCTTTTTCATAGCAATTTATTCCATGTACAGTACAATGGATTCTCCCAACTTTCATTGATTCCAATTCAGACTTGTAAAACAGAAATTAAAAAATTAAAAAAGCTTTATTTGTACAGGCTTAACAAAAGGCATTTGTTATGCAAACAAGCATACATACACAATTAGTAATCGGGAGTCATTGTTTGTGAATCTGGAAGCTACAGATAAAAGCCAAGCCATGCATATTGTTATTTAAAGTGAGAAAAACAATCAAGAATAGGAGGGAAATTAGTCCTGACAATTCAATCAACAGGAAATTCTAATTCCACCTACGTTCCACCCAGTGGAGGTTCTACGGGGTGGCACGGGGTGGCAGCTGCCACCTCAGAAAAATGCCTTGCCACCCCAGCTGCCACCCCATTTGGCAGCTTTGTTTTAAAAGAAAAGTTGTGGCTCATCGGACATTTATGAGAGAAAATTTCTAATGTCCGAGTGCAAGTGAATGCAGCACCCCTGGCCCAAGCTTGGAAATATGATTGGCGGCGATTTCATTTGAACGGGAGGACAGCGCAAAACGAGAAGCATTTCGGATACAAGTAATAATAATAATAATGCATTTTATTTATATAGCGCTTTTCACAACTCAAAGACGCACAAAGGAATGAGGTATTTGCGGTCAGGGTATGGCTGGGGTAGGCTACAGCCATACCAATAAATGGTTTAGCCCCACCATGAAAAATAATGTTAAAGTAAGCAAAATACACACAGACTAAAACGGGTTTTTGGAAAACTTTGTCCCGTAGTGATTGTTCTTAATAGGAACATCTTTGATCATGTTTCTGGCCTAGGGATCTAGACAAATATTCTGAGTGCAAGTGATGCAGCACAAGACGCGAACCTTGTAAGGCGTGCTCATCCCCTGTCGGGAGTGATATGCTGATTGTCGGCGAATATCATTCACTGTTACTTGGACAGCGCAAATATTGTACTTGTTAAACCTCATATTAGGATTACGTTATAAAAGCAGTTGTCTATCAGTAGCGTGAAGCGGGGATACTCGTAACTATATGGAGAATATGTCTTTTTTGAACCACGTATTTAAACATGTAAATTATTTTCCTGCTTAAAGTGTGTGTTTGTTGTATTAACATGACGTCATAATAGGAAATGGCTCCCTTATGCAGACTGCTCAATCATTTCTGCCACTAGAATGAATGTGAGTTGTGAGGGCACATCCTGATGTGCCTGTCCCGCCTGTGGCGACTGCACCAGAGCTTTTTAATTTGTCCCGCGTGGTGTGACCATGTGCCGCGATTTACGGGGTGGCGCAGGGTGGCAGCTGTCAGCATTCCAGGTAAGTGCCTTAGGCACACCAGCTGCACCACTCTTGGACAGAATGTTATGAATAGATAAGTTTTGTCGCTCAGGTATGACTTTGTTGAGAGGAAAATCTATTAATGATTGTGATTGGTACATGACATGCAGCACAAGACGACGAGCTTGTTAACCCCTCCTTCCAATCTGGAAGACTGAGCTTGTAATACGATTGGCGGCGATTTCAATTCAACAATAGCGCAAAAACGAAAGCATTTCGACATACAAGTTGACAGTAAGGACAATGTAGGTATTTACGGTCAGGGTATGTGAACTGGGGTAGGCTACAGCCATACCAATAAATGGCTTAGCCCCACCATGAAATGATGTTAAGTAAGCAAAATAAAGTTTCCAACTCGCGGAGTAAATTGCACAGACAGCAGTAAGTAAGATTGATTTCAGTAGCCACTTGTCTGGAAATACCGAAGACTAGAAACAGTTGTGAATACTTTTGTCACGTAGTGATCGTCTTCTAAATAGAACATCTTTGATAATGTCTTCTGGCCAATCAGAATCACGATAACGGCGTGGTGTTGTTGCAGGAAGTCCCGACGGAGAATACTTTTGCTGTAGTACATCTCTATATACATCGGTACAACTATAAGACCCCACGGTTTGATGATTGATAGGTGTGTGGGCTGTCTTTCATTTTGACACACAGAACAATGGGGGCTATCCACCCTTATCCACAATGTAAAGTAATTCACACAGCCCTCTTCTCTCTGTGAGGAGCAGCAGGTTCAGCTTTCAGAACAAAGTAACAAAAAACTAAAATGGCATTCATTTTTTAAAATACGTCGTGTAGTAATATATATTTATTTGTTTTTCTTCTCAAGAGAGCACCAGAATGTGTATTTGATGTTAGTATTTCAAAAAATCTCCTGGGGGAGAATCCCCCCAGACCCCCCTGCAGGGGTTGGATTTTCAACTCTTTCACCTGTGGGGAAATTGCAGGATTGGCTCCAGGTCGCCCTTTTTATTTACTACAAGACAAATGTGCCTTTTTATTTCATACAGTTCAATTTGGATTGAGACAGGGAAATAATCAAGACCTCACGCGTGGCGTTTCACTGTCAAGGGGAGCGTGTATGTAATTACATTGCAAATACTGATTTGAACCCCACCACTGTATGGGTTAGCCCTACCATAGATTACCCAACACAAATACTCTGGCGTCTAATATGACAGAGAAGAGCCTGTCAAGTTTGGCTGTACTCAGCATTGAATCAAAACGCACCATAGCTTTAAATCTTAATAAGTTTGTGTGGCGTTTTGCTGATCAAGATGGTAATCGCCACATTCAGCTGTTATAGACATGCCAACTTGATGCTCTGCTCACGGATGAGTCGATGAGAATAATAAACAGTTTAAAAAGATGACCTTACATGTGTAAATATATGTTTCTTCTTTGTGGGGGTCTGCCCCCAAAAAACAGTTTCAAGTCCTGAGAAAGTCAAATAAGACCCTGTGTAAAACTTCACTGCCCAGCCAAAAAAAAGTAACCACTTTGATTTAACTAGGCCAGTAGGTAAGGGCATTCCACTGGATAATAACTGCAACGATGTATATGTTTTAGCTGAATACACTTTTTTTTTTAACCCTAACTGATGCAGTTAGTCATTTCTTTAATGTTTGTTCTTTCTGATGTAAAGTCAAGGTTGTAACTGTTTGCAATGAAGTTGTGGGGCGCTGAACTGTTCCTTTGATTCTTTTGAATTATGATAGTAATTACTGGTCTTTCAAATTTGAATGAGGGTGAGCAAGCATCTTGAGGAACGTTCATCATTAACTCCTCCAAAAAATATAGTTTATTTAATAATAACACTGAATATGTGAATCATAACATGATTGACAGCTGATAGGAATAATATGATTGTTAATATTATCATATTCATACAGACACACATCGATGAGACAGTTAATTAATGTACTTATTGCAGCAGTCTGCATATTTGGTACCCCTGCTGGTCTAAGAGTTAAACCAACTCATTCAGTTAAAATTCATTAAATTACGTGTGCCACCTTATATATTTATATTTAAGGCTTTACTGATGTGCCACAATAATGTCACCTAATGTTATTGAGTTAAAATATAAATATTGTTGCTTTCCAAGTTAACATTGATTGATATGACTGCGATTAAATCAGCATATACTTCTGCCAGGGGATGCCACCCCTGAAATTCTCCTGCCACCCTCTTGCCACCCCATGAATATTTGTCTAGATCCGCCCCTGGTTCCACCCTTTTTGCTGTTTCATTGTGTTGCGTCTGTCAGGTTGCGTTCACGTCCTCTGCAGTTTTACAACAAACTCTACAGCAGCACCATTATACAGCAAACACACCGGCCTGGGTGCTGTCACTGCTCTGAGACCTCATTAAAAGAAGGTATTCTCCCTTTCATCCAATGCATGCACGCTGTGGGCAGCTGCTGTCTCTTTTGTGTTCAATATTTCATACAGAAGGAGCTTTTTTTGCCACTGTAATGTCATTTCCCATCTTTTTAGAAAAGCACAGAGAATATCTCCTGCAGCTTGACACCCTGAACTCCTCGTGCTCACGCCATCTCTTGCTTTCTCGCCCTCTCTCATCTTCACTCTGTTTTTTTATCTTTCTTTCTATGGGTTTCTGCTGTTGTAGTTTAGGACACTTTAGAAAATAAATATAACCTGTTTTTCGCATTCACTGCTCATTAAAGCTTCTGGTTGCCATTGCTTTCTATCCAAGGTCAAGAACCACTTTGGGGAGATTCAGACAGAAGAGTTAATGTCAAATACTGAAGAAAGACGTTTTTAATTCTCAAGGCCAAAAAAACGAGTCCTCCACTTTAAGTGCCCCCAAAAAAATCCTTGAAATTCAAATGATTAAAGCCGAGCTCCATATGTTTTGTTATTTCTTTCCCACTGACATCCATCTGTCTTTTTTTACCGCTCACACATAAACTGCCGCTGTTGACACGGCTTCAGGTGCTCTGCCGACTCAGCACCAGGGGAAAGGCTCACCGGCGCTAATCTGATCACACCTGTTCTGGTGCGACAGTGCAAATAAAACCTGTTCAAAACAAAGACAGCTCACTAAAAGCAATATCTTTTTCTTGAAAGCTTCCAAATGTGAAAATAAAGAACGGGCCAGAACAATTATTCTTCAATAACCGCTGCATTGTCTAGAATTGTAAAGGGAGAAATAGAGAATTTGCATAAGGTTGCTCAGGGAAAGACAACATTAGTAGTTTAAAGAGCTTTAGAGGAGTTATTAAGCCATTTTCTATTCATTTAGACAAAACTGAAATATCAAGGAGAAAGGGAAAAATCAAGGTTTAACTTCTTATTCGACTATTTGCCATTTAAACAAAGTGTTTTAATGTTATGTTTCCTCCTTTTTCCAGGCTTTCTCATTGTTAATTGTTGCCATCGGGGTGTATGTTAAAGTCCAGAAAGCTACAGGTACGTACAGGACCGTTTTCACACATTCTGCTACATACAAATTCACTTTTCCACACATAAATGGCTTAATATAATCTGTTTCAACTACTGAAAGGGATTTCTTATATTACATTTATCTCCTGTGATAAACTGTTCCTCCTCCGTACATGATGGTCTCTTGAGCTGTGCTTGTGGGAGATGGTGTCCTCCTTTAAGTGCACACCGGAGGAGCAACCCCAACACAAGACCATCATTTTTCACATTTAGTGGGGTCAGCAAGTATTTATCTGTATCCTTATTTTACCTTGTAATATGCAGATGGACAACATAACGGATTAACCTGGCCTCATCACACTGATTACACAGCTGCACCATGAATAATCCGTGACAGATCATTTATATTTTAAATGAATGAAGTCAGCCAGTGTGGGAAAGGCGCTTGGGAAAACAAAAATAAGGGTGTGGGAGAGAGAGAATTCATTTGAACATTGTTAGAAAACAGAGAAATGAGGAACAGGGAAGAAACTGATGGTAGGAAAGTAGTCCGATATCTTAACAGGAGCTGTCTCTCTGCCAGACACGGTGCGGGACACGTTCCTGATCGACCCGGCTGTGATCCTAATCGTGGTGGGGGTGGTCATGTTCTTCATCACTTTCTGCGGCTGCATCGGAGCCCTGCGAGAGAACATTCGCCTCCTCAAGACAGTAATAGACATAACAGACACTAACTCATCCAGATCCAAGTCGTAAATCTCATGTGTGACAACAAATCTGACAGTTATGATCCCGTCTGAGTCAGGACATTTTTTTAAAGATGTGTCTTTTTTTTCTAGTTCTCCTTCACCCTGACGTTTCTCTTCCTCACCCAGCTAGCCATATCCATCATGGGCTTCTTCTATTCTGATCAGGTACGCGTCTCTTTCCTGAAATGCTGTGGTCTAGCCTAGTTATTCTGTAGTAGAGTCACTTTAAAGGTCCCATTTGGTCCCCAGTTGTTTTCCACAGTGACACCATCAACCACGAATACACCTGAGCTCCATTGATTTCGAGTATTTTTTACCGGCTTTTGGACATTGTTTGCATTTGTAAACTACAGTGAATGAAACTTAACACTGCAAAGCATCTGAACCCGCAGGGGAGATGTCTGAGCCACACAGCGTGCACAAAAGAAAGTAAACACATATACACAGTACAACGGTGGAAATCAGTGTTTGTGTCTGCCAGAGAAGAGATGAAAGCACCCAATTTGAGCTGTAGTAGGGCCTACAATTACATTTCAGTGCACTTTTAACTTTGCCGCAGGTCGGAGCAGCCCTACCAATAAAGTTGAAAAGAAGATATCATATTAGACTCAAATGGCTATCATGTTTGGCATGCTTGTGGAAAAGAGCTTCTTTTTTTTTTGAAGGAATTCAAAACTTCCTTCCCTCCTTGTTGCTCAGTGACATGACCTCCTGTTTAAACTTGCTAGAGATGAGGTTCTCTAACTGGACAAGTATACCAGGATTTGGGGAACCTTTGGGGATTCATGCAGGCGTTTGTCCTGAGAAACCGCACACTATTATACAACTAACTGACTCCATGTTTCTCTCTTCATTTATTTTCGGCCCCTAATGACTGTTCTTGGTTTCCTCTGGTTCCTGAAAATTCTGTTGGATTTTGTGTTGCATCATACATATGCATGTTCAATCAACCAACAGCTTGTTCTGTAAATGCGCTAGGCCATTTATTATTGAGATGGGTGTCGAGGTTTAGGGTTTTGCTTGTTCTTTTTTACCTCTTTTTTTTTCTTGTGTATGCATTCAAGAAAGAGGGGGACAAAATGGAAAGAAGATCATGAACTGCCTGCCGGCTGCACTGTCCCGCTTTGAACTGGTCTCTGTATTTGATTTGAGCAACTGTTATCTCATCAACTTCATGATTTTATTGTTTTTTTTTCATTTTTTAAAGCCACAAACCATTCCGCGTACTGCATTACCACTCTCACACTGAAATGTTACTGACGTGCAGGCGAGAACGCTGTTTTACCACAACACAAATTACAGTAAAACCATTGAGGAGAAAATATAATGATCATTTTTAACGATGAACTCTGTTGTGTGGAACAGTCGTGTGTTCTCGGTCAGAGAGTTTATAGCTGCAGGAGGGAAATTAAAACAATGATTACAGCCAGGGCTCTCCGAGTGCCCTTCTGGTTCAGCAAACATTGAACCCAAAGACGATCAGAGCTCCAGTGAGCCAGACTTCTTTTTCTTCAGAAAATGAAGGCAAATGGTAGAATCACTATCTATACTTTTTGTTATCTACATCATTCACATCTTTGACCCAATATACTTGCCATAGCTATCAATGGTAATTATCTGTGGGTGTATTCACTTTAATCTCTTGCACAAAAACAAAGTTGTGGATGGTGGAGAGACAGCTACTGAAATATAAAGTTAAACCAAATTCTTAACATTGATGTACATAATGCAATGTGTTGATTGACATATGTTCAAATCAAATCAAGTTTTATTTATATACCACATTTATAAACGATTTTTGGTCGAGCCAAAGTGCTGGAGATATAATAAAAATAGCCTACAGTAGAGACACTTTACAGCTAATACAACAGCACAGATTGTTCAGAATATCAGTATGAAAAAAACGACACCCTCTATCCTTAGATCCTCACATTGTACAAGGAAAATCTTCCAGAGAAAACCCACAGTTTAAAGGGAAAAATGGGAGAAACCTCAGGGAGAGTAACAGAGGAGGGATCCCTCTCCCAGGACGGACAGACGTGCAATAGATGCCGTGTGTACATTGAAAAGATTATACATTTTACAGCATAGGTAGTCCAAATGTTAGGAAATGCATGTGTCTGTAATAAGAAGATGAATCTTAGAATCAGTAAGAAGAAGAGGAAACAATGAATACATCCCTAGGCTAAGGTTCAATTTACTCTATGTCTCAGAGCGAGGGGGCTTCCAGGATCAGGCAGTCTGGGGCTTGTTGCCATGCTCAAGGACACCTCAGCAATGCCCCGGAGTCACACTGGCACCTCTCCAGACACCAGTCCACACTCTGTCCTCATTCCAATCTGGATATGAACCAGCGACCTTCCATTTTCCAACCTAAGTCCCTACCAAATGTGTTCATTACATGCACACTAATTGCAAAAACATTGCAAAATGCAATATTGCAATCCAAATGGCTTCATCTAAATGAGTTTTATAAACCTCAACAGGAACAATTACACAGTTTTTAACAAGGAAAATAAACTAATTTAGAGATAGTAAAGAAAACATTTTGTGTGGAGAATTCATTTCCCTATCCTTTTAGGAAACAATAAGGATTGTGTAACCCCTGTTGGTGGTTCACTTCACTGAAATAAAGTAACCATGTCTTTATGAAAACGATGAATGTATAGTATGTGGATTCCTGTGTATTTGTATACCAGTACACAACCGCAGTGATTGATTTGGAGGCATAAGGGAAGCAAAGGATTTCCCCTCTAGCATCCACTTATCTCCTACAGTAACATCCCATTAGGGCTCTTCTGGGAATGAAAACACAATAGCCAGTGGTGGCGTCGCTCCCTGACATCAGTGTGTGTCGAGGTTCCTGCTGCCTGGCGATACCTCTCCTCTCCCTTGTGTTCTCTGTCAGAACTCGGACTGCCTGCTGCTAAACAGAGCAGTTTAACAAGCCTCCCAGCATCCTTCCTTGCTAAATGATTCAAATGCTTCGGCACTTCAAAGCGGAACGAAATGTTCCATTTCAACAGATCCCTGGAAGGAGACTTTGGCACCAATGACATGAGGAGGTGTGACTTGAGCTCCGAGGCTCACGATCGTACACCACCACGTGAAAAGACAAGAGAGAGGGGAGGAGGGCAGGGTGAAGGGGTGGGAGAGAATGCTGGATAGATGCTAACACAATTTAGTGAAACAACTTCAGGATAAAGATTTTGGGCTATTTTGATACAGTTTTCGGTATTTGTTAATGTAACCTGTTCAGACGCAGGATTTAATAATAAGAAGAATTCAGAGGGTTAATGGAACTGTGCTCAGAAGTTAATTTCAAGCTTAATGACATTTTAAAGTTCAGCGGATCATTAGCATACAGTGTTCCTATTAGCATAATTTACATCTGAACTCAGTCTGTACAACCGTGGCCTTGTTTTTTCTTAAGGATGGAGGAAAAATACATTTTCTTACACTCAAACTAAATAATTAAAAATGAATACCATGGAAAATGAAGACTAAATAAATAAAGTAGCGCGCAATGTTAACGTCTCAATCAATCTCATCTCGTTTGAAATCTTAATTATTCAAACAAATCAATGTTAGTCATTTATATTTCATCTGGGTTTTGTTTCTCCAGCTCAAGTGGAGCTGATGAAAAATTACCACATTATAATATCAAATGGGCAACTTCAAGCAATTATGTTCTGCAGTGGAAACAGCCGGAACCTGCTCTAGTTGGTATGCACCGTGTACATTGATCTCAAAGGCACGAATGATTTTTATTATGGTCGTTATTCTATACTCCCATTGCAGCAGTTCCTGCTCCGCTGCCACCTTGGCAAGTTGCATTCCACAGGATGCATAACACAACGCAAACAAGAGGATGTTATGTGTCCCCCTTAGACATCTATTATTATTATTATTATTTATGTTTATTTTCACAGGCACAGATACAGAATCGTAGAATATTCACTGATGAGACTAATGTTGCATATCAAACGGTTATAGCCTAAAAGCTCATTTGTAGCGTATATCCCTGGTTGGCATTTTATAATACATTTGCAGTGCAAAGCAACATAAATATTGTAAATGCCATTTAAAATGCCTGTATATCAAATCCAAAGAAAAGCCCCAAGATTAGCGATAAATACATGCCTGATCACTCTCGAGTCGGTTTAACTTGGATATGAATGATCCTATGTATGATCCATTATTAATTGTGTGAGGATTTCAACGGCATCTGTCTAAAAGGTGTGTTCACAGAAAGACACTTCAAGTAATTAAAAGGAGCCAGAAAACCTCAAGAGGTTTCACCGTGTCACCGAGCACACATTTGTAGACAAGTTCAACACTGGCAATTTTAATGAAGTTATTAAAACGATTAAACTTCTTTAGTACATGTGGAAATGAACGCTATAATTCTCTCTCTCCCCCCTCTCTTAGACCCGGGATGCTATGGGAAAGTTTGTGAAGAAAGCCATCGTGCACTACAGGGATGACCTGGATCTGCAGAATCTGATGGATTACATCCAGAAAGAGGTGCTCTGGACAATGCCTTTTAGCTGGAGTGTCTTTACTTGTGTCTTTAGCTATCCACATCACACACATCTTCAAATTGATCTGTAAACCAGTAAACCACAAGAAGAAACCACAGAGCTGCATGCTTGTTCTTTTGGCCTTGGTTGAGGAATTTCCACGTGAGAGGCTACATGTAACATACAGTTCCTGTGCTCTGCGGGGCTCCTCCTGCGATATTCCTCCTCCATCTGCACACACTAGCACACTTTGGAAGCCTGGGTTTCCCCATGGGAGAAGCCCAGACTGGCAGGATGTACAGATTAGAGCAGGACCACAAGTCTACATTTAAACCTATGCTGTGTGCTGTCTCTGTTTTTCTCAGTTCAAGTGTTGTGGGTGGAACAACTACACAGACTGGTCTTGGAACCTGTACTTTAATTGTACTCATGAGAACCCCAGCACGGAGCGCTGTGCTGTGCCTTACTCCTGCTGCACTCCTGTTCCTGGAGAGGTGCGTGCTTCTCTCTGTATGAGATACACAGCGTGGACAAAGCCTTATGGAAAAGTGATAACTGTAAAGTGATTTAAAAGCACTGCTGTAAAGAAGCCTTGATGTTGAATGCCAGTTAGTGTGTAGAGGAATGTCTTAGCTCTAAAAAGGACAGGTTTCAGAGGAATGTGAAGCTACTAATGAGTCCCAAGGAGCTCAGTCTAAGGACGTATAGATGTATCTGTCACCAGGGAAACCCTGTGTGTAGAAGTATCAGACTCTGAAACTGCACTTAAAGTTTAACCTTTACCACTTACTGGCAGAAAAGTATACAGCATGCTATGAAAGAGTTGTCGTAAATCCACTTACAGAGATTACAACTATTACATATTATTCTTTTGATTAATGTGAAAAAAGAAAAAGTTGAATGCTTCTTGCTTGTTTAAATGAATGTTAAATCGACTGATTTTTTTTTACGTTATTCACAACTGCCATGTAAGGGCAAAACTAAATAAACTCCCCTCTCAAGAGGACTAACATAAAATGTCAGGCTGAATTATAAAGTGAGACGAAATGACAAAGTATATTTCATGATTATCAGGCTTAATGAGCATCCCTACAGCAGTTAGTGTTACAACTCATTTATATACACAGGTAGACAAATACATAGAAAAGATACCTAAAACAATCTTGAATAAGATTCCAAAAAGACACATTTAGAGTTGCTCGAATTTAGCTCAGAGTCTACAATTACAGATACCATTTATAAGCTTGGCATTGGATGTGTGTCACAAAAGAATAAGTTATGTATTTATTAGGGCTGTCAGTCGATTAAAATATTTAATCGCGATCAATCGCATGATTGTCCATAGTTAATCGCAAATTAATCGCACATTTTGTATCTGTTCTAAATGTTCCTTAGAGGGATATTTTTCAAGTTTTCAATACTCTTATCAACATATGAGTGGACAAATATGCTTTATGCAAATGTTTTTTTATTATCATTTGAACAATGACAAATATTCTCATGAATATTAAACACAACAACCTCTCAACATTAAAAATGTTTGCCTCAATTCAACCTGGAACCTCTCCGACAATACAAAGTGTGTGTGTGTGTGTGCGTGTGTGCGTGTGTGTGTGTGTGTGTGTGTGTGTGTCTGTGTGTGTGTGGAGACTGATGGATCGTTGGAGCTATGTGCAACTCAAGGCATATGCTCGAACAGGAGCTGCCTGGACGCTGCAATTATGTTGCGCGCACTATCCGTGCTGAGTGTGCTGACTTTTCGTACAATGTCCCACTGTCTGGCTACCTGCATAAAGTCAAGTGCTCGGCACAGTTGTCGGCGAAATGTCGCTCGACTCGCTCCTCTGTTTTCATTGAAACAGCTCCATATATCCGTTAGCGCAGCTAGCTAGCACCAGATGCTAACAACAACAATACACGTAAGATGTGCCCGTTCTCTCTCGCTCGCGCCACACATACACACACCCTCCCGGTCTTCCCGATGGCCTGTCGGGGCCTGCCGGTGAGCGTGGAAGTGTGGTCTGCCGCAAGCGGACGGCAGGATCGGGGCTGTCTGCATCAGCTTGTAGATGGTATTTTAAACTCGATGCGCTCTGAATCTACGGGGCGGCCGAGGACAAAAAATGCATATGCGTTTATCGCGTTAAAATAATTAGTGGCGTTCATTTTTTGACTACATCTGTAAGGACAAACTCCTACTAGTACTTTCTTTTTCTTCGGGTGATATGCCATGTTCTGTGGAACTGATCTGACAATGACCAACACTTTCTCCCTCGCAGGCAGCATACATGAAAGGTTGATATGGCCGAGGACAAAAAATGCATATGCGTTTATCGCGTTAAAATAATTAGTGGCGGTCATTTTTTTTGCTGTTAACGCGTTATTAACGCATGTGCCCTAGTATGCCTTGAGGTGACATCACCATGACTACATCTGCAAGGACAAACTCCTACTAGTACTTTCTTTTTCTTCGGGTGATATGCCATGTTCTGTGGAACTGATCTGACAATGACCAACACTTTGTAGCAGGTTGGCAGCAGTGATTTCAAATTGATCCCTGTTTCATGAAGGTTTGTCACACAGCCAGCCGCCTTCCATGCTATAACAAATTAAATGTGTGCAGATAAGGATGCATGCTGGTGTTGTGTCAAATTATGCACCCCCATCATGAAATGCACCCCTTGTCACGGGAACGCGCATTTGTAAATGAAACGTTAAGACCTTAAAACGATATAATGAATTAAAGACCGGAGGGGCTGATGCAGTGCTGCAACCTGCTGGCCTGAAACTGCATGACTGCTTCAGGGTCATTTTGTCATTAAATTAATGTAGTTGTATTGCTCGCTTGCAGTCTTTTCCTGTTGTTTTCTCCAAGTCTCTACAATTAACAAAACTCTCCCTAGGCTGTAACAATAGTTCATATATTTGTGAATTTAAAATAACATGAGAGATGTGGAATGTGTGAAAGCATCTTATGAATACATTTACATTGTTTAAACAACAAGAAGGCTAGTCTCTAAAACGTTTTCTGTCTCTCTGTCCTTCGCCTTTGTCCATGTGGTGTACAGACGGTGGTCAACACTATGTGTGGGTTTGGGGTTCAAACCCAGAAATACCTGGAGGCAAACAAGTTAATCTTCCCGTTGGGCTGTGCCGGCAAAGCGGTGTTGTGGATCGAGTCTCATCTGTTGCTAGTGGGGTCCCTTGCCCTTGGTCTAGCCTTGCCTCAGGTAACAACACGATTTTTTTGCCACTAATTGGCAACATTTAATTGCCATCAGTAACCTCAGACAATTCTGGGTTGGAATGGCTTTAGTCTTATTTTAAATAAGCTTCCACACACAAACGCACACACACACAAGTCGATATAGGCATCAACTGGAGGCTCACAGGATTGAGCGTGTAGCGATCAACATATTGACGAGATGTGCTCCCTCAGAGACTTCCATGGTGCATTTGGACGAGGCAGCTACGTAGTCCAAGCAGCAGTCCATCAATCAGGACCCTGAACCTCTCCTGAAGTAACATGGTAGAAAAACTGCCCTGCACAAGTTGGCTCACATGAGAACCTTGTAGAGAAGAGGGGAAAAAAACCTAATAAAAATCTGACTCTAAAAGAAACCAAGCTTAATCTGAAGCCATTGGGACAGATCTGATTTAAAATGGAGGGTTATACCTAGACAGCAATAACTAGGCACAATGGGACGATGAATTTTTAACTGCACATTATTCATTTATTGCAGTGTTCTAGGCCGAAAGCTCAGGTTAATGTGAGACCGAGGTAGAGGTCTGCGTGTGATAATGTAAGATTATGTGCCTAAGAAAAGAAGCAAACTGACGATTCCCTCCTCTCACCAAGCACCGCTGCACAACACCTCAAATCACCCCACATTAAGTGCTCTTGATAAGTCAAGTCAATAGTTCTATTGGCATGAAATGTAATTAGCACCTATCAAAAAGCTGCTTCTAAATAATTAGTACAATTACTTATCAAACTGATTCAGCCACAGTGTGTCACATTGGATTCTCCCACAGTATGCAGCTTTGCCACTAGATCTTAAGTCTGATCTCTGTGTCTCTGATATCTGCTGATTGGGTGCCCAATGATCCTGTTAACAGGGAAGCATGTGAATTACCCATGAGTCCTGTCAAAACAATTTCACTAGTTTTCCAGTTTGCTTTGTTGTGCAGGAAATCTGATGACTGAGCTTTCTTATTTTTTGTCATCCAAACTAAACACCAACAAGACACATTTAAATCAAACCTGTAATTATTGGAAAGCTTTGTTAAAAGCTGTTTGCCACTGATAGTGTTTTCTCGCTGTGAGAAACACTTTGATATCAGCCTCTATTTGACGTAAGTGTGAGGGACCTTGAGACGCTCGGCACAGCCTGTAGTTTCAGAGAATCTGTTGTGTAATGTAAAGCGCTGCTACTGTCCTCCAGATTGCAGGCATCGTGCTGTCCCAGATCCTGATCTCTCAGATCCAAGATGAGATTACCTCAGTGTTGTGAGAGCGGGCCGGCGCAGAGGAAGAGGAGGGAGGAAGAGGAGGGAGGAAGAGAACATACAGTGCTCTACTCAGCTCGTCTGACGCGCGCAAGGACATCTTTTCTCACGGCTATTGTATCACTGCAACGTTTGAACACATGAAACATTCTGACCATGCTGCTGCCTAAGAGTGGGGTGCACAAGTAGTCATCACAAGCAGAGTGCAAATGAGTGTATATTTATTGGTTTTTTGAAGATGCTTTTTTATATTGACTTTCACATGACGATTATATTTCTGAATAACTTGTAAATGTAATGTTTGCTTATAAAATATAAAACCAGGTTAGTTAAACAGATCAGTATTGATTAGAGAGATAACATAATCATCTCAGAGGATATAAGGCTATTGATCATGCAAATTAGCAACTTTGTTTTATATAAGCTCGTAAACTTAAGAAATGTGTTATAAAGCTTAATCAAGCTTAATTAAGAGTTTCCTTAAGCTAACCCAGTGGTTCTCAAACTTTTTCTGTCAGGCCCCCCCTTTGGAGAAAAAGTCGGGCCCCCCCAACACAAATAGTCAGGCTCAGTGGCGGCGCCAGAGATTCTATTTTGGGGGTGCTGTGGGGTAGCTTGATACTCAGGTATCATTAGCGTTTAATTAGCGTGTAAAAGCATAGACAGATTTACAGAGGATACTCCTAATAAAAAGTTCAAAAGTTATGGAGAATAGGTTGTATACTCACTGTTTATACGAAATTACGTTTACGAAAAAAAATAATGAGTAACTTGTTGACTGTTTTAAGAGTATCTTAGTCAATTTGGTGTTGTTGGAGACTTGTAATTTTTGAACTAAAGTCGGAGTTAAGTTGACCTGGAGAGGCTCGTTATGTTTTACACACAGCGACACACACGCACGACACGCACACACACACACACACACCGCACAACACAACACACACTACACCTCTACTACCTAGCAACCTCGATGACAGTTGAGTCCGTATAGTGCTTGTCACCGGACAAGGACCCTGCGACGTTAATACAACGCGCGTGATACGGCACGACTCCACACGACTGAAAGAGCGCGAATGTGTGAGCGGTGACAGACCGATGTGACGTATTTCCAGTTCACGAGCCGTGTCAACCAGCCGCTTTCGAGGCGAGCTGAGCGAGGAGACAAAGTAACTTTGTCGAGGTATATTAGGCAATCGCCGTCGATCGATCGTGGTCTACGATTGTTGTTGTTATTTGATTCTACACGGGCAAGAGTAGAGAGGCCAGCCGGTGTGTATGTGTGTGAGGGCCAGAGACGGGCTACCGGCAGCCCCGACGGCCACTCGCACTTCACACCAGACGGCGTTCGCCTGGCCGTCCTTAGGCCCGCACAGGACGTAGTCGAGCGATCTAAACCATAAAATTATGAGCTACCGCGAGACTTAGATGCAGCCTCGACCGACAGCGGCTCCTTTCTTTTATTACGTGATACGCAAATATAGCGACAAATTTTATTAATCACCGCAAGTAAAAACTGATGTAGACATTCCTGTTTGGGATGATCATTGGATAAGAAAAAGAACGCCCACTATACGGTACAAGACACCTTGACAGGTGTTTATGGTTGTGGAAAGAGGGAGACGTCCAGTCGTATGTACTTTCCAACTATACGCTGAATTTCTCAGAATCACTCGGTACTCGTTCCAAGTAGCCCACTAAACTTTGTCTTGTTTGCTTTAGTCTTATATATATTATTGTTCTCCTTTACACGATTCGATGCTTTTGACGTAGTTTGTTTTTTGTTGATGTCATTTCGAATCCAATTGATTTACTATTTTGTACGATTAGAGGTTTTATATCACGACAGGGCTATACGAACCGGATGCTATTGGACTCGTTGGAAACAGTCGCGTCTCCAACCGTCGTCACTTAAAGTTTTAACCTTCGGTACAAAGTTACTTCCAAACAGTGTGTACGTCGGGAAAGGTACGTTGATTGTTTTAATTTTACACACGTCTATTCTTACGTACGACCACCAACACAGTTTAATACGTGGGGGTAGTACTTTCACGTGAGGGAACAGTGCCCTTGCGCGTAAACATTTATTTGCAATTCTGGAATTTTGCTTATTACTTCCAACTTTCTGGCCTCCCCGACTACGTCCGACATTTTTGGACGACCGGACTTGACGTACTGACGAAGTTCCCCAGTAAAACAGTAGAATTTAATTAGCATCAACATAACGAGCGAACGTCAGAAAAGGAACAACAAAAGAGGTTCAGGAGATGTTAATTTGTTTTGAGAGGGACCGACATTGTTTATCAAGTATATAAACACTTATTTTATTGTACTCTCTAACCTTCAACACTTTCGTAGAATACTTATGTAAAGTAACAATTTGGTTGTTCTTCCGATCAGAGATATTTGCAAAAAGACAGAGAGACAGGAAGCGAAAAAGGTACACCACATGTCTGCCACCAGTTGTGATACACACCCAAACCCCAAGTTTGGGTCTTTACTGGACCTCCGTTGTTCAATTAGAAGGGGCAACCCGGACACGGCCGTTTCGCCACAACACCTTAGTCAGGAGCTAGACAAACGATCACCCATGAACGGGAACCAGGATCGGAACGAGTCCATTGTTGTGCTTAAAAAAAACGGTGATTACCGTTCGTAAATTAACGGTAGTCATTGAAGTCTGTTAAGGACCCAACCTTACCGAAATAGAATAAAATTTATTCGAAGGTGTCGTGTTTGCGTGTGTGTGTTCGAGCTATATGCCGTAGTTGACCTCCGAGTGTCCTTAACCGCACATCGCTAGTTGTATAACCTGCTCTACACGAGGAGTCTTCTGAAGGTACCACGTAAAACCTGCTCCGTCGGATGCATAGGTTCGTCGATCAGGTAGTAGTCCTGGGACTTGGAGAGGATTCATGCTACCATCTTTTTGACGGGACGGGGGGTTCAACCGTGTGTACTCATTGGAACATCTCTTCTCCCTTTTTTTGGATTATTTTTAGGGACTGAGATTTCTTTGGGTTCGATTAGGGACTTCGGTAACCCTGTCTAGACTAAATTTTTACCTCCCAATATGATCTGTCGTTATTGATCCGTGTTACCTGCTACTTAAAAATTGACGTGTAATAGTAAAATAACCGTCACAAGATCCGGCTTTCGAGTCAATTACACTCTGGGCTTCCATCTCCAGACGCACACTATACATTCTAATACCGGATTCTTTTTGCCTTCGTTTGACTGCTTAAGGGAGGAGAGGTGGTTCGTGGCGACGTGTGTGGAGTTTAGTGTGGGTGTAATGGTCACGAGACTCACTTCAGTTCAGTTATCAAGATAACCGTACCTTTACATTAATCGTGGATAGTTTTTCGCGAAGATTATTAATCATGTTTAATCGATAGTTTGACTAAGTCGGTGTCACACCGTGTAACCTAGAGCGGGTTGTCATAGTCGAAACGGTGATCTAGAATTCAGACTAGAGACACAGAGACTATAGACGACTAACCCAGGGTTACTAGGACAATTGTCCCTTCGTACACTTAATGGGTACTCAGGACAGTTTTGTTAAAGTGATCAAAAGGTCAAACGAAACAACACGTCCTTTAGACTACTGACTCGAAAGAATAAAAAACAGTAGGTTTGATTTGTGGTTGTTCTGTGTAAATTTAGTTTGGACATTAATAACCTTTCGAAACAATTTTCGACAAACGGTGACTATCACAAAAGAGCGACACTCTTTGTGAAACTATAGTCGGAGATAAACTGCATTCACACTCCCTGGAACTCTGCGAGCCGTGTCGGACATCAAAGTCTCTTAGACAACACATTACATTTCGCGACGATGACAGGAGGTCTAACGTCCGTAGCACGACAGGGTCTAGGACTAGAGAGTCTAGGTTCTACTCTAATGGAGTCACAACACTCTCGCCCGGCCGCGTCTCCTTCTCCTCCCTCCTTCTCCTCCCTCCTTCTCTTGTATGTCACGAGATGAGTCGAGCAGACTGCGCGCGTTCCTGTAGAAAAGAGTGCCGATAACATAGTGACGTTGCAAACTTGTGTACTTTGTAAGACTGGTACGACGACGGATTCTCACCCCACGTGTTCATCAGTAGTGTTCGTCTCACGTTTACTCACATATAAATAACCAAAAAACTTCTACGAAAAAATATAACTGAAAGTGTACTGCTAATATAAAGACTTATTGAACATTTACATTACAAACGAATATTTTATATTTTGGTCCAATCAATTTGTCTAGTCATAACTAATCTCTCTATTGTATTAGTAGAGTCTCCTATATTCGATAACTAGTACGTTTAATCGTTGAAACCAAAATATATTCGAAGCCATTTGAATTCTTACACATATTTCGAATTAAGTTCGAATTAATTCTCAAAGGAATTCGGATTGGGTCACCAAGAGTTCTAAATAGACAGTCCGGGGTGGAAACCCTTTTTCAGCCCGGGGGGGTTGTGTTTATCAGGTCCGAGTCACCGCCGCGGTCTCTAAGATAAAAACCCCACGACACTCCCGAGAGACGTAGTCTGCTAGGCAGTAACCCCTCAAACCGGAGTACCGAAGCGCGAGGTGGTCTTCTGGAGACGTCTTTCTCTTGTCGTGTTTCTGTATTTGTGTCTAAATGTCTCTGTTCGACCTTCGACTGGACTAGTTATTACTTTCATATTGTACCACATGTCCGTCGCCGACTACCAATGTATTTCTCTCGTATGCCAAACATATCTTTCGGTGATTTCTTTTCACCTCACCTGCCGCCGGGGATGTCTCTGAGACGACATAGTACTACTTTAGGTTACGAAGTTTTCAAGGAAGAACACAGAGGATACTAGAGTCGTCTGGAAGTATACTTTCGTAGTTCAGGGACAACACGTAATGGAAGGTTCAAAGACTACCACGAATAGGAGGCTAAAGTACCGACGTACTTATTCGTCAACTAACTTCTGTAGGGAGACACTTGTTGTCAACTCTTTGGGTAATCATTTGTCATTGTGATGGGAAGAAGTCGGGACATGTATATCAGAAACATGGGAAAACACGAAATGACACATACATGCGACAACGTGGATACCCTTACGAAAAGACTTGTGTTTCTTGTAGTTTAGGTGATTCAGGTAGTGTCTAAGTAATAAGTATGTAACGCCATGTAGGAGTGTGACACACCACACAAGTACCTGACTTTCCGAGAAAACGTCTCACAAGAAGTGAAGACCGGATAACGTGTTATTGTCCCTAATTGAGTTCTTTTGTGTTATGTCATACTAGCTATTATAGGTTTCTTTTTTGTTTCTTTCACAGTTCCGANGTAAATGTAATGTTTGCTTATAAAATATAAAACCAGGTTAGTTAAACAGATCAGTATTGATTAGAGAGATAACATAATCATCTCAGAGGATATAAGGCTATTGATCATGCAAATTAGCAACTTTGTTTTATATAAGCTCGTAAACTTAAGAAATGTGTTATAAAGCTTAATCAAGCTTAATTAAGAGTTTCCTTAAGCTAACCATTGGAGATCAGATTCATATGTTGCTTTATGTGTTGTGCACGTTGGGAACTGCCATGCTCATCTTGATCCGTCTAGATGTGAAGGGCCAGAGCTCTCTGCATCAGACGATCCGTCATTGGGGAGTTTGGCCTCATGGCTTCGCGCTCCACCAGAAGACCTCTGCAGAAAGAGAACAGCACAAAGACATAAACACAGATTTACAGAGACAAGCTGGAAGCTGACCTGATCAATAATGAAAGTATAACATGGTGTACAGGCAGCGGCTGATGGTTACATAAAGAGAGCATACGGTTTGTATAGAAAGCCACTAAAGAAAAGTGGAGTGGACGGCGGCCCCTACAGAGACTCTGCTGTATCATGATGAAATCCAATGCTTCAAAAGTTCCTTCTTGTGTCTCCTATGATCTCAGCAGACCTTCATATGAAAGCATCAAGTCCCTGTTGTGCATTACCTTCCAAGTTTCTGATGGTGCTTATCCTCCGATTTCATGGCTGCATGAATAAGCAGTTGATTGAAGACATCCCTCTGTGAACAACAGTTGAGAAACCCATTAGTAAACAGTAACACTACCCTTCTTCAGCCCTGTACATATAGTCTTTGTACCCTTTTGTGCTTTACTGTGTATGTACGCTGTTGCACCTATGGGAATGCTTTTCTGAACACAAAGAACATCAAATCCACTAAGTCCATCACAGATTCATTATTCATACATTGCGGTACATCCTCACACTGTGTGGTGTGTTCATGGACTGAAAGGCTCTTTTGCAGAGTGTTCTTCACTTCTGGCCTATTGCACAATAACAGGGATTAACTCAAGAAAACACAATACAGTATGATCGATAATATCCAAAGAAAAAACAAAGAAAGTGTCAAGGCTGTACACTTTTCAAAAAGAATAACTGTTTGGTTTTGGTTTATTCTTATTTGCCTTGAGCTTACTATATGAACCCCTTCCTGTGGGACCTTACCTGTGCATCGCTGCCACCCATATTGACCAGGCGGTAGCGTATCGGCAACAGAAGGTCCACGGTGCGATTGTAGTTGCCCCGGTCGTACTCCATCATGGCCTGACACATGGGTACACCGATTGTCCGTCCCATCTGATGTTGCAGATTGACCCCTGGCTCTCTGTGAAGGAAAAGAGAGGTTAACAACTAGAGAAAACATATTTCATAGCATAGCTGGAAGGATAAAGGTCCCATGTCATGCTTTTCCAGTTGTTACCCGTCCCCTTGTGTGTTATGAAGGTTTTTATGCATTTAAACGGTCTGCAGAGTCACAAACCCTCAAAGTACACCCTGCAGGGAGTAAAACTCTAAAACAGACCTCCCCAAAACGCCTCGTTGGAGATTACTCATTCTCTTCCTGGGTACTCTGACATGGGGATACCCAGAGGCCACACCCTCTGCCAGCCTTTCACGAAACAAAGCTTCCCAAACCTTTCAGCGATTCATGCCGGATATGTACAGCGTAGGGCACTGAAGAACGATGCTGTTCCTACTTTGTTTGGACCAGTGGGAGAT